ATTATCTTAATGCCTCGCTTGTGCAACAATTTACCGGAAAACAGAAAATTTCGATGTCATCACAAAGAAAAAGACGATGTTGGTACATCAAATTCTGCTATCACCTTATAATATTCAACAAATGACTAGCGATAAAGATTGCGTAATACATTAATTCAAGCATTTCTCATTTCAATTTACAATTTGATGTTTGTTTCATAATTTCAGTCAATATTAGAATAGATCTATACGGAAATACTTGATGCACTTGCATTAGTTTTATTAAGAAATCAACAATGTTAATAACAATTGTAAAAATAATTGTGAAAATATATTAAACTGTGGTATTATACCAGGTGAATAAAAAGTATGGAACCAAGAGTTTTTTTTCGTAAACTAAGCACTTTACAAAAAAAAATAATTAGTGTAGCGTAAAGTCCAATTAAAATGTGACCATTTATTAAGAATAACATTTTTCGAAATTTCTTTTAGTTTTCGAGTTCTGTTTTTTTTTTTTTAAATGGCAACCCATTATGGTAATTTTTTAAATTAAAGATTATGATCTAAAAATGACCTCTAATTAAACAGAATTGTTTTCTAGTCAGTACTTTTTTTAAAATAAATTGTTAAAGTTGCGTTCCGAGCCCATCACAAAGATTTTCCGAACTTGAACGAGGGAGTCGTTTCATGACTTTGGTCGTTGGAGAGTCCGGTTTTTGGTGCAGGTGCTTTGGGATGGTTCCGGATGGATAAAAAAATGTAAAAACAAATAATTTTCTTCTATTTTTAGTCGATTCGAAACCACCCCAAAGCACGTGCATAGAAATCAGGGCTCTCCCATGATGAAAAGCATGAAACAACCACTTCGGTTAAGTTCGGAAAATCATGATGAGCTCGGAACGCAACTTTAACATTTAATTAAAAAAAAGTACTGGCTAAAAAACAATTTTATTTAATTAGAGGTCATTTTTAGATCATAATCTTTAATTAAAAAAATTACCATGGTGGGTTGCCATTTAAAATTTTTTTTTCTAGAACTCAAAAACTAATAGAAATTTCGAAAAATGTTATTCTTGATAAATGGTCACATTTTAATTGTACTTTATGCTGTCTATAGAATACAGTGCATAAGTAAGGTAAGTCATAAAAATATTTTATGATTATCAACATAATTTTTAATAATTAACCCATTAATGATGGAAACAATAAACACATCTCCACCTACGAGTAAATGTCACAAGTTAGGCGTGGGTTAGTTTATTTCTGATCGAAACCGATCCATTAGGTTGAACCAATTATTAACCATAAGGCACGTTTTAGCGGTTTCCATCAGCAAAAGATTTAGGTAAACAAACAGTAATAGAACATCCCATATCCAATTTTGCAAGAAAGGAATAGAAAATACAAATAAACATTTGCAAATATGATAGTGTTTGTTCTTTTAAGACTTAATTTGCTAAAAAATAATTTGTTGACAAACTGTCAAATGGAAATTGCACCTAAAGAAAGATTTTCCTCAAACATTTCTAGTGGTTAATTTCATAAAAACTTATACCCCTTGACTTTCATAAAGCCTTTAAAAATTATACCACTGTTCAGTCAATAATCTTTGTTTATTGCAGAATATTGATTGATTGTTTTCAAGTAAAAGCCAAAAAAAAATATATTCATATTAAATGGTCTACAAAAATAGTAACAATGTTTAATCTCCAATAAGAGTTTATTAACTTCTAAAAATGTTTCCACTAGACCCGGGGTTATATTATTTGGAAATATTGTACTACTGGTATTTCAAAACACAAGCAGAATTTAGCTTCATTTATTGTATACATTTTGGTATCCAGTGGCGTACTGAGGGTTCCGTGGGTTGCGCAGAACACGAGCCCGGGCTCCAAACAGGCCCGCACGAGCCCTGCCCTTCGCCAGTTACAAATTACAAATTTAAAAAATTCTAAAATTATTATTTTTATATTAGCTGTTGAAATTAGGTTGTGATGGCTAAAAAAAATGTTGTCTACTTGAGTTCATAGATATAGAGAATGTTATACAATCGAAGCAGAATTATTCTCTTCCATTTAATAAAGAAAAAAATGGAGCGTTTTATTTAGAAAAACTGACCTATTAGTATTTGACTTTCCTCAACGTAACGTAACGTAAAATTTTAAGGGTTTGTTAATCAATTTTTAATTATGAATCCACCAAAAGAAAGATCGATCTTTTCCAAAATACGATTCCATAATAGTTAAAAATTGCAGAGTTATCAATTTTTGCAGAGGAAGGTTTAAAGTAAAAAATATTCGAAAAGTCTCGTGGAGGGAGAAACAACTGGAGAGAGTGTGCCCTATACCGGCTATGTTAGGTTCTTGGCCGAGCTGCAAACACCTTTTACGACCATTTTTGAATCTACCGCATAAATGTATAATCAGTGCGCAAGTCGAGAATTGTTTTTTTAATCAGCTGATACCATGGGCGTCTCATTGTGTCCGTATTTTCCACATTGTCTTTTGATTTTTGTATTTATTAACTTTGTTTTACAGAGTTTTTTTTAAATAATCTGCCTAGTTTTAAGTATTAATGTTAATTGTTAATGTTAATCGGTCGTGTATTTAGTTATTTAGTTAACTGAATGTAAAAAACATTGACTACACCACTGCATCTAAATTGGTAGTGGGGGGAAAAAGCTTGAGCGCGCACTTTGAAAAGGATCATAAAAGGTGTTTGCTCATGGAACACGTTTTTAGTGCTTATGCTCCCTCCAGTTGCTTCTCCCTCCACGAAAAGTCTATAAATCTCAAAAACGGCTGAACTTAGGTAAAAAGAATACCGATGATAACTTTCATAGAATAACTTGAGATATCCAAAAACACAACAAAAAACATAAAATAAGAGTTATTTAAATAAAAAAAAAATAAATAAAATAACAAAGTTGATACCCACTTCCGATATAAATTTCATAATTATTTTTGGTAATTCTTTGCTTATAAACAAAATCAAAAATAAAAAAGTAATTTTAAAACAGTAAGCAATTTTCGATCTACAAGTGCCAAATTAGGTTTTTGCGTGGCCCACCTTAACAAATTTGATTTTACCCTGGGCCCACCCAAAATAAAAGCTTCTGGTTCCGTGTCTGGAAACTGTATCGCAAAAAAACTTGCAAGATAAAAATGAAGACGACTAACATTCTGTACTAAATTATAATTTCTGTTTAAAAGTGAACTTGAACAGTGAGTTGACTACTGTTTTTTCATTAACCTTAGTCTCAAGAATAATTTAGTAACTGTAATTAAGATAGCCAAGAATCCGTAAATTAAGAAAGAGAAGTTTGAAAAAGCAGTTTTTCTTTAATTTTCACAAGAATGAAAATAATTTACTACAAAAGACTCTGATCATTAAACATCACATTAAGTTGACAATAATTTGTCTGGATAAAGAAACATTAATTAATAATGCAGCCGTTAAACAAAGTTCTTTTCGAATGCTAAGTGTAACCCAGTCTTTTAATTTTTTTAAATGTCATAAAAAAATAATTTTTCATTAAAGATTAACTCGCAATGTTTCGGAGTTCAAACGTACGTAGCAAAAGATTTCAAAGAAAATAAATATTAAACACAAAACAATGTTTCAATGTAAAAAATTACTCTCTTCTAAAATTATGTATTGATAGCCTATATCTTTAAAATTTGTATATTCCTATTATAACCAAAAACTTACATACTATTAGAATTAACATAGATACAGGGTGTTTCACGTAATTTTACGAAGCCTGCGCCGTGAGATGCAATCAATAATACATATTTCGATACAAACTCGATTACAAATTTTGAAAAATTGAATAATCTTCTGTAGTTTGTTCACCCTTTAAAAATTACAACGTTTTTAGTTAGTTAGTAATTAAGATAGATAAACTAGAATCATATTCATGCCGTCTCTTGATAGAACAAATGATAATTGTTTCTGAAACACTGCAGTTTATGACTATTAATGAAACAGTGATTAGTTTGACTACTATTGTCATGGGTTTCCAAAAATTAAATAATTTGAAGTGTATTTTTTGTATTCAGTGTTCTGTGACTTTTGTATAATTGGGTGCGTACATTAGGCGCAAGCCTCGTAAAGTTGTGTGAAACACCCTGTATTTAACAGACATAAAAAATACGACATAATTATATTCACCTATTCATGTTTGGAAAATGTTTTTAAAAACTGTGACTACACAATATTAATCTATAAAAAATACTAAATAGATGTAAGTAAGCCTGTTACCGTTAATTTTAACATTTTAAACTGAAAATGCACGTGGTAGCAGTTTCCCATGCAAGGTAACTTCCAAGTTGACAAGTTAAAAATGTAAATCGTTTAAATAACAAAAAAAACGCCCGATTCCTAATTAAAATTTCAGATGTAAGAATACGATAAAATAAAAAATATAGTATTATTAACATAAAAAGGAGAGTGAAAAAACAAAGTTAAGTTTGTTGAAAATTGCACAATTTGATCAGTTCTAATTAGCACATTGTATAATAAAAGCTAAATAAGAATTACATCCAATAAAATCAAAACAATGAGCAAAGCTCTCATAAATATGGAAAATTTAATTTTCTACTATTATTATTAATAACAATATACATAGTCAAAGCATTTGAAAATAACATAGGTAATCGGACAAATAAGTATAATCTAATTACTTTAAACTATTTTGCAAGAATATAGTAATTTTCATGTGTCTGTAGTCAAAAACGAAATGTATATATTTCTCAAATTAATAGAAATGAAAATTTGGATTTTGCTGATTGATCTTTAATACTGCCTGGCAAATTTACATTTGAATGAAACCTCAATATTTGCCTAATTAATCAAACTAATTAATGAATCCAATATAAGATGTCGATCAATAGTTGCACATAAACCAAAGAAACAAAGTTGTAGAGTATTTTACGCTAGTAGGTATATAATGTGTAATGTCTAATTGGCTTGCGTAGCGTTAAATATGTCCAGTTGGTAGTTAAATAAGATAAACAAACCTTTCTTTGAGGCTGTCTCATAGCGGGCTGAGTAACGAAGGTCCTTAGTGTGGCAAGCGGTGCCGGGAGGCCAGTCAGCATGGGCTGCACGTGCATAGCAGGGGGTTGCAAATGTAAAGGCCCAGCTGGATGTATAGGCACAGCCACCATCTTCTGCAGGGGAACTCCCCAGGGTAGGTACCAGGACCCAGGGTGGTGCTGCATAGTTTGATCGATAAAGAAAAGTATTCACACTTCACACCGTTAAACCTCGAACTCGCTGTTTCTTATTACTTAGTTTGGCTTTTCTCAAACAACACAATATGATTTCGTAGGTCGCGAAAACATGCTGCTTTTGAACAAACCAAGATGAAAGGTTGGACGCGCGCACCACTATTCTTGCCAAACCCAATCGGAAAAGGTTTGATTAATATTAATGAAGAGTGCGATGCTATTTCGGGGTACCGTGGTTCTAACAAACAGAAAAAGAGGCAGTATCACTGTCTATAATAACTGGCTATTCATTGTTTCCGACGTGACGTGCGTTGTTTATATTCCCGGACTAAATTTCGTGCGAGTTTGTTGCGGGCCTGAAAATAACCCCAATGTTAAGACAACTATTATATTGTGCCAATTGTTTACATTAGATTGAGCCCAAAGCAAGAAAAATGTTGTTTTGTGATAAATCGCGCAAAAGAGATTTGTTCATTTTCCTTGAGTGAATTGTCGCTTCGCAGGAGCCGCAAAGCCTTAAGTTCCCATGCCCACAAACATTAAGACGTTATGAAAGCAAATGCCATTTGCCACTTATCTCATACCGAAGAAATTCAAATTAATTTACATCAAATTACACTATAAATAGCGGCAGCCAGAAATCAATCCAAATTTATTTTTTCTCTCTCAGTAATGAACATCATATAAATACACTCACAGCACACCATTAATCACTAAACTTCCTGTTGTTTTAAACACGCGAATCAATGGTTATAGTTAAAATAGTTAAAAGAGTACAGATGCAATAAAAATAAATATTTCTAGTTCACTGAGTACACGACTTTTCATTTTCTCGACACCCCTCTAAATAATGTTAGCTGTTTTATAAACTTTATTAAAAATAATAGCTCCTGCGAAATGTTTTTTAGCATACTGAAGATGAGGAGGGTGAAAAAGTGGCCATTCTAATGTAAACAAACAAATGGCCAGGACTCACTTATGGAGGTGCAAAAGCACGCAACAATTACTCCAATCAGTGATAAACAAAAGATGTCAAGATTGCTTTTTATAATCAGTAATCACATTTAAGTCACTTACTCCTGTTAAGCAAACGTTTATCCTGTTCTGTAGGTATACAAACAGGAGTGTGTTGACAATATCCTGAGCAGGAGAGATTAGCCTACAAGTTAGCCAACAGAAAGCACTCTAACATAGACCAATTAATGTATAATATGAATGTAAGTGTGTTGTTTGAGCGAACGATGCAAAATCATGTCAGGTGTTCGTTCAGCGCGTGTGTTTTCCACTACCGTCCGCGCGTGTATTTCCTGCGAGGGCCGAGGAGCAACTGCTGTGAATGAGAGCTCGCGTGCTTTGCAGGAACCGGGGTTTCTATGCGCCTGCTGTACTGTGCGTAGCAGGAACTTTTGCCTGCAGGATTCTGTATTTACACCGGGTCTGCGCCACGACACATCGCGATGTCAGTCGCGCATAACGGCCTTAGGTTTTATTGTTTGTTTGTCTACCTCTAGAAACGTACTTCTATGCCGGCCACATCTTCAGATATTTCCAAAATCGCAAGTATATTTATATTCCTTTTAAAGCAGCAGATTTCACGGATAATCTACACGACTTCCCGGCTTCCATCGGATGACCGGATTATGTCACGGATTACGCGTAACTTGCTGCTCCTGGAGAATGAAGCTCAAAAATGAAGCGATAAAAATACAACACGCGTATCGTCTTTATGTCTATTTTCAAAGGCCATCAACACTATTGAAAACCACAAAAAAATTGGAAGTTCTTTGATATCCACAATTGCCTAGAGTAACAATAGGGTAAATGCAATCCTGTACTTTTTAATAAACTGGTTTTACTTCCAAATTACTTGGAGTTACTTGTAATTTTTCAGAATCTTTTTTTTTAATTCATTAATTCAAACGAGTATTACTTTAAAGCAACAATATTTTTTTAGGTTAATCTGATAAAAGGTTTATCTTTACTGTTAAAAAAACAACCCTCGTACATTTACCAAAAGCTAGACATTCTTCAAAATAAATTAAAAATTTTTAAATAAATTTTTACTTGACAAAATTTTATATTTGTATGCGAAGAAATTTTGTTTGAGAAAATTGGCAAATGCGAATGTTAAAAATCATTTTATTAAAAAAAATGTTTATAATAATTGCTATAATTTACTTATATTTGTTGAAAACATGAATCACGAAATCATGTTTAATTAAATCTTCAGTATACGTTATATGTACACAGTGAAGGTTTGTAGGTGAACATAACATGCATCTTATACGTAACACACTTTTCAATGAACTATAATACATCTTTACACTTAGTAAAATATTTACCAAATAAAATTGATAATCAAAAAGATTAAAAACTAAAGCATTGTGTCTGGTACCCCAAACAATTTACACAATTCAATTAATAAAAATAATACTATATCAATAAAACAATTGATATTTTCTTGTGGGTGAAATTTAAAAGCGATTATACAGGCTGATTTAGAAGTGTCGGACCAACTCTTCAGCTAAGCATAAAAATAAATTCAAATTTTTTTCAAGTCTTTTTTTGAGAAAAAACAGAACTATCAATTTCCATATTATCATGTAGACATCTTAACTCTTTTATTTCCGATGCGGGATTTAATTTATTGGCGACATAAGACACGCATTGGTGTTTTTTTTTAACAGGTATCTATCTGTTCAATCTTTCAAGATCTCTCGTTTCCGCTAATTAAATTCAAGAATAGTTATACAGGCTGTATTATAAAAAACGCCCCAAGACATTATCTCATTACTTAAAACGTAACGTAAAGACGTTATAATAGTCTTTTGCTCAAAGTTAAACAGTTTTTCGTTATCAATCGTTTGCTTGCTTTAGATAAAAAGAATAAAAATGTTCTATTTTTCTACAGCCTATTTAATTTAATTTAATTTTCAAATTGCCTTAAATACAAAGTCAGTGATAAATAATAGTAAGTGAGGTTGTTGAAAAACAATTTAATGAGGAATCCAAAAATAATAAAATTTACAATGTGTTACATTTAAAAAACTGAAATTAATGTCACTTCCGATGAAACAGGAAGCAGTATTGATTGAGCATCTATGCCAAACAATAGATGACAAGAAACTGTTCAACAATTATTGTCATATCTTCAAAAATAATGGAGTTATGGCTTGGGGCGTTTTTTATAATACAGCCTTTATAATCTGAGCGGCCAAAAACTTAACCCATAATCTAACCTTTCAAGAGCTATCTCTCTGAGAAAAGGCTCAAACAAATTTTTGTCACGGGAATTTTTAACTCAGATAGATGTCCTTTATCACCACCCAAGAGATAGTCCTACACTTTTAAATTACCCTGTATGTACGGTAAAAGAAAACTAATACACTATTCAATAATATTAAAATAATCCACGTTATGGACGGAAATAATTTATTTTTATATCATTTGTTTGAGAACTGCTGTTTAACTACAACAATGGCCATTACTGCCAATGTATTATACCTTGTGTTTCACCGTGAATTATAATTTTGTCAACCAATTTATTATATTAATATTTGCGATCCGTGTTCTTAAATTTGAAAAAAAAATCATTCAAGAAACAACAAATCAAGGAAACGATTTCGTTGGAAGTGATTAACTGATTAAACCAAAGATCTTCGAATTTTGTTAAAAACAAAGGTAAAATCAAATTAAATGCTGATACAGTCAAAATCATGAAATGACTTTTCTCTTTCATTGTTGTGGTTATGAATTTCTTATTTGTTGCAACAACGTAATTTTATCTTAACAAAGATATAATTCCAGTGACTCTAAAACCTAGTACCTAGTACTATTTGCACATACCGGTTGATACCACATGATACTACAACATACCAACCGTTTTCGATTTGTCACAATGACGTCACGGTATGTTCCGGTCAACATACACGAACTTACCATCTTCAAGCGCAGGTATGTGCTCTGTCCTTGTTTAGCGGTATCTTGGTAAGAAACAGCTGTTTAGCGTTTGACTGTTTGACAGCAGATCTTAACCTCTGCTCTTATGTCTTGTGTTAAGCCAAATCGATTGGAACTAGCACAAATTGCTTCATTTCAGCCTATAATTGGGATAATTATTTTTATAAAATACTTTGATTTAGAATGAGTTCTGTATTCAAATCGAGCAAAATTGGACAAGTGACAACCAACATGACCATCCAACCTCAACCGACAAACTTCCTAGATTTTAAATTTAGCGCTTTGTACACACATACCGTGACGTCATACCACATCATACTGCTCAACATACCACTAACATACCGCGTATTAAGTAGTAAGTACAAATAGAAAATCCCTAATATTATGGGGTTAAATAACATTCTTTACAAAAATCATTCTGTGAGTTTTTATTTCTTACTTAAACTAGTTAGTACTGTTTAATTACTAGGTGAATTTTCAATTCCAAGACCGTGAACACCCTGTATAAATTGAAAAATTGTACAATTACAGACTATACTAAAAGGTATAAAATCTTCAAAGTATTTCAAACACTTGTTCCAAGCATGACACAGTTACTAGCACACTACTTTCCTCTTCACATCGTAGGTATCTAAAATACTTTCTTACGTTTATGTAATAATAGTTGTTACGCAAAAGTCGGTAAGCGTATCCGACATGTATCATTGAAAAAAAGCAGCTATGATACCTAAAAATACACGCTTGTTTTCACTTTTACCTCCTACAAATATAGGAGATCATACCTAATCCGTATCCGCTCTATTATTGATGGTATTTTGTCTACATATTGTACCTACAGTCCTATAGACATAATAATTCCAATATTAATAACAGACAAAAAAGAACTAGTTATTTTTATCGTGCCAGTGGGTTAAGTTACATACTCGTATTACCTCCTCACGCAAGAAGAGAGTCCACGAGACGTAGTCGAATTAGCGATTTTTTCTTAAGTGAGTTAATTATACAGGGTTATTTAATCGTAGAGATACCGTGAAAACGTAATGTTATGCAATACAAAATACAATCTAAAGCAGCGTCTAGATTTAATTTTAAATACTTTTAATCTACAATGGCATCATTGTCAATCATTTTAGAGTCTAACATACAGCTACAGTCGCGGCCATTGAAAAGTAATACACTTGACAAATAAAAAAATTTTGGCGTTGTAAATTTTCCCTTGAAATTGACAATCACTGTCATGTTTAAAATGTCACTAGAATGTTCTTCTTTCTTTTAAGAACAGTCATTTTGTTCAAATTTTTTAAATTTTGAGAGGATGTGTCAAAATCCCGTGTATTACTTTTTAATGACCGCCACTGTACAGGGTGCTGCATTTTGGATGTCCGAATAGGGAATC